GACAGAGCATCCACAATAAAGAACAACGACTTGATCGCTAGACAAAGTATTCTAGTGAACATTCTGGTTGACCTTGTGCTAATATGCGATTATTCCGAGATGTGCAGTGGAAACTCCATGGATGGTATCATGTGAGCCCCTATCAAAGTTAGAAGTACGAAGCTGTATTCAATCATTAGAGGAAGGAAAGGCAGCGGGACCTGATGGGCTTCCCCTCGTTCCTTTTAGGTTTGGGGATGACTCTTCGACTCGATTACCAGTTTACTTCGCAGCATTTGGTCGCAGGGGTGTATCCCTTGATCCCGGGTGACCGTTCCGATCTTCCGGAAGATATATATATATATATATATATATATATATATATATATATATTCGGTTCAGTTCAATGAACTGCCAGGAGATTGTCGTTTACGCGTGTCAGACAAGCGGTTAAAACCCCTAAATTGGTCGTGTGTTTTCGGGGAAATTTTTTTTTCAAGCCAATCGTATGCTACTTACTGTAGAATATATATGGTGAAAAACTTGAGAAACAGCAAGAGTCTCGTGTTCGTTTTCCTTTCGTATCCGCCTTGTTTGTTTTTGTCGCTCTCATTTTAAGCTATTGTTACAATGTTAGTGCTTTGTAGACCTCTGGATGGTATTTTGATAACATACATGGTTTAGTTCGCGATTCCTTCCTGTAGTTCGTGTTCTCATGTATTATTTCAGCTGTCAAATTTTCACCCTGGTGCCTTGGAATCAACCGTAAAGTTCCAACCCTTCATCTATATTGTTACTTGACTCTCATTCGTATCATGTCAACATCAACAATCGAGCATCAACAAGAGCTAGTCAATAAACCCAAAAGTAATCCTCGTTGTCTAATAATCCGAGTAAATTAGATTCTAAATTTCATCAACAACGTCTGCCTGCGTGGAGGCCAATATTAACTGCCAAAGGTGTTTTCCCCATCTTCCTAACCATTGGAATTCTGTTCATTCCTATCGGTGTTGTTCTCCTGGTCTTTTCCAATAAGATCAGCGAGACAGTGATTGAGTATACCCACTGTGAACGATCAGACACCAGCGGTACTAATTCATTGAAGGTTCGATGTTCCGAAGAAGTGCGCAAACCAAGTTTTTATTCACAATACAATTATTGCCCTTGTCAAAGTACATTTACTTTGGATAAAGACTTGAAGGTGAGTTAAAAAATCGAATTATTTGTCTGAATTGTATTTGTGTATTGAAGTCTAACTAATTTTCTATGCATCTATACTATTCCCGAGTAGCAAATGCATTCCAGGAGGCATATTTTAATGGCCGGATTTTCAGGTACAGTTTAAGAGGTAACTGAGATTCCTTTATGTTTGGTCTTTGAAGGAAACGGTTTAAAGGAATACAGCTTCATAAAGGAATATATCTTATCCAAGCAAACCGGCCGGTTCATTGGCGAATACACCTCAACGTATGAAGACAGATATGAAACGGGTTCAACTATAAATCACTTAATAAGATTCTCGCAACAGATGCACCATTGACTTCCGGTACAGTACTCGATCGCATTCAACGACTAGGCAGTGGAATTCGTCCAAGTGTTCAAATTCCTCGGCTCCGACATACAACTAATCAAATCAAAGACGAAATCCAGGTACTCGTTGATGTTGCTACGAGAGCTTTCCTACAACTCGGATGAGGAGTGCAATTTACAACGGTTTNCGTCCTTCATAGAGGGATCATCTGAAAGTGGGGTATATACGACAGTAACCATTAAGTCTACCGAGTTGCCTCTGAAGCGTGTCATCCAGATTCCATAGACGATGGGTTCGTACGTGATCAGCTGTTGTTATAACGATGGTTGACAGCCATAGCCTTCCCGGCTGTCGATTGTCATCTGGACGTTGAATGCTTCAGCAAAGACGTGTAATGGTTCCCACAGAAGCTTAACACCTAAAATCCCGCGCACACCACGTAGCCGGCGAACAATTCCCTACCGCGCTCGGTATTGAAGTGGTGTTTCTATCCCAAACTTTGGAGGTACAACCGATCGCAGACAGTAGTAGATCCAACAGCATTGATTAAGGTAAGCATCAGTGTCTCTAAATACCTAGAAAAATAGTGAGTCAACTAAACTTTGTAGTGCACGTGAGGATTTTGCTTACCTAGATCATCGCCCTAAAGTTTGTGTTTGATAATCATCCTGGCAGCAGGGGTTCCTTCGGACTAATAACTTCTTTTGTGGTTGTGTGGCATTTTCACACTAACGTTCTTTTTTGCACTCTCCTTTACTTTCCTCAGGGACAAGTGTATTTCTACTATGGTCTAAGCAACTTTTATCAGAATCATCGTCGTTATGTGATGTCGAAGGATGATGCGCAGTTGCACGGAGATTCCACTCGTTTGAGCAGTGATTGTGAGCCCTACCGAACCAATCCACAGGGAAAGTCATATGCCCCATGTGGTGCCATAGCTATGAGCCTGTTCAATGGTAAGCCTCCTCTTGTTCCATCGCTCCACTGCTGACCTTGACTTCAATCGTTGCTTTTGCTGCTTACCGGCTTTGCAGATCTCACTTGGTGCTGTTATTTTGATTCTCCCGTTGACTCTAGTTTACTACATCTCATTGGGTCCGAAGGTGTACACCTTCAGTTTGCAGCGAATCATTAATCTTGCGGATCTTCTTGAAAGTATCATGAAACGATCACGTAAACCATCTTAGCTCCGATCGTCACAAAAGTGTTAACTTTTGTGATTCTTCACCACCTGAACACTTGCGAACCGTAGGCAAAGTTTCTAACAGGTTGGGTTGTATTGATCAAATCTTCACTTTGTGTCAGTTCCTGTGGTTAAGCTATTCACGTCGTCGACCAAGAACGCACTAAGTGGTCTCCAAACTGTCGGCATTGAATGGAGAGCTGCATAAAAACGGTGGGATTTAGGGTCCGTGCATGACATAGTTTGTATGTTCGAGCGCCAAACGCTCTTGATAGTTCTGTAGCTCCAGTTAGAATGCCCCTCGCACCTTCCAAGCGCAAAGTGATACTCGATGTGACTCGATGTCGCCTGCCCCAGCTCTGATGCTTCGTAGCCAAGAGTTACTGATTGCGAATTGCTTTTCTTACCTAGGTAGTTGCGTAGCAAATGACGGTAGCTTACTTAAGAAAGTAATCGCCCGTTTTTCAAGATACAAACAAAATACGCAGGACTGAAACACCTTTGACGCCGACGTGATGTTTTCTTGAAACTGAGTCGTCGTGTATACTGCGCCAGTGTGCGGTCAGTTCTGCTTTACGGTTGTGACACATCATTCATCGTCTGAAAGTCTTCGGCTGTGGATGTTTATGTAGTTGGACGCAGGTTTTATGGAGCGAGCGGTTGATCGACACTGTCGTGTATTTGGTAATGATTCGGTTGGGAATTGGTCATCTCACGGAATACATATGAGTAAGTTTCACTGGTTAGGACACGTACTGCGCACTCCCAACTGTCGTCTGTCGCACCTCTCCTTTTTTATACTTGTTGCTCCAGGTTGGAGGAAACCACGCGGAGATCAAAAGATGACGTAGAGATGACGCATAAAGAAATGCACTGGGCAATGGGGTACAGTTTATGTCCCTCATCTTCCGGGTTGAGGTCCAGAAGATGGTGTCATTGGCTGGTTGGAGATTTTAGGATAAACTCTCCTGTACTAAGGTCGCTGCGACGAAAAAAGAAACGGGCGTACAAGTCTCACAATACTTCAGCTGTTGGGTATTTGTCCAGGCTTATGAAAGCTGAATTAAATAGATTGAACGCATTATTCTCTGATCGAATTCTGAGGACTGGAAACAGCAAACACCTGTGGCAAGGTGTAGGACTTCTCTGTGGAAGGAAGAACATACGGTCGAAGCTGGATGTGGATGCTGATGATCTCAATGTCGCATTCCTGCGCCAGTCATCAAACATCCTGCCTACTCGTCACGAAATACTTGTTACGTAAAACCACTCATATTGTGATGTGTTAAAACTTTTAAAAAGTTGCAAGTCGTCCTGTGCTGCAGGACCGGATGACTTACATCCAGCCCTCTTCAAATTTGGTGCTGCTTCCCTAGCTGGGGCAATTATCTCCATTGTAAATGAATCTCTTCACACTTCTACTATCCCCGACTGTTGGAGGCCGGTCACAGTTATACCAATCCCCAAAGCATCCAAATCTATCCTCTNCTATCCTCTCCAAACGTTTTCACCCCATAGCATTAACATCTTCAGCTCTCAAATTGACTAAAAAAAACCATCCTCAAACGCCTTCAGCAGTATATAAACATTCCCAGTGATCCGTTAGTTTGCTTACACGCCTAATAGATCGACCTT